TTAAAAATCCCCATTTGATACTAACTTTTCCCCATTTTTTTTTTCACTTTTCAAAAAAGCCCTGTCTTCTAAAGGCAAGGGGCTGCTTGGCGTTACCCTAGAACCAAGAGTGAGCATGAGATGAGGGCTCAGTGTGGTGCTTCTGAGAAAGTAATTTTTTGTCATGAAATTGGAGTAAGCCAAAGACACCCACTGCATCTCTCATGTCATTCGCTCCTCCACCCCCTGCCACTGAACCGAGGCAGCAGATGCGAGGACCGTGGCCATGGGAAGGGTGTTAGGGATGCCAGTCCACTAATATCCCCTATCCAGTTGGGGATATTTTTCACGGGGTGATGAGAACAAAGTGTTATTTTATCTGCTCCAACATGTTAGAGGGGAGCGTGGACAAAGATGAATTTTCTCTCCCTTCTCCAACCCAGGTGTTGAGCTCGAGTCTCTTTCCTCTGTGAATTAACCCTCTTGCTTTCTGTTTATACGGGAGGGGCTTTGGGGAGGCGACATGGTTCCTGTAGATCTAGGTGCCTGAGCTTCCATCTGGTGCCTGAGGCGGGCGTCTGCTTGCGCGCTGGGAGCCGGCGGCCAGAAACCCTGCCCCGCAGCCCGGATCTCACCGCCTCACCGGTCCCCCTGCTCGCACACTGCCGCCAGCAGATCTTCAGCTCGTTGGTTTTTAAATCCTACATCACATCTCATCACTCCTCTGCTCAAAACTCCCTCATGCTTCCTAGCTCCCGAGGCGTAGTAGCCCGTATCCTTACGTGACAACGCTCCTCTCCTGCTCCTGCTCGCCCGACTCCCGCCCCACCACTCCCCTTGCTCACCTCCTCCCGAAGCCCCTTCCCCCAGGTGCCCCCAGGTCCTTGCCGAAGGTCACCTTCTTGTCTATGTCTTTCCTGACCGCCTATTGAAATTGCGTCTGACCCCTACACCTGTTCTGCTTTACTTGTCATCTCTGGCATCACACCAGAGATGCCGTGCATTGACCTCTTTAGCAGTGTGTTATCTGTCTTTTCCCACCGGGAGATCGGCTTCAGAAGGCAGTTTTCTCACTGCCATATCCCCGACACCTGGAACTGTGACTGGCACAAAGGACGTGACCAAGGCACGTTTGGTGAATGACTGAACGAGTGAATGAATTAAGTGGATGCCAGCGACAGCATATTATGTCAAGGATGAAGTCCTTAGTGTGTCTGTATGTATGTGTGTGGTGTGTGTATTTTTATACTTAAACTACTAGTGCGTGCCAGGCTGTAGGCTGGGCACGGCCCCACCCGATCACTGTCCCACCCGATCACTGCCCTACCAGATCACAGCCCCACCTGATCCCTGCCCCACCCGATCCCTGCTCCACCCGATCACGGCCCCACCCGATCACTGTCCCACCCGATCACTGCCCCACCAGATCACAGCCCCACCCGATCCCTGCCCCACCCGATCCCTGCCCCACCGGATCACTGCCCCACCCAATCACGGCCCCACCCGATCACTCTGCTTTGCACATTTCTACTTGTTCCTCCTTCCTTCCCTGGAAAACGCTTCCTTCTCCTTTTTCTTTGCTCCAAAGGCTTTTCCTGAGTAACCTCCCTGCCCTCTGCTCAGAGCGTGTTAGAAGCTCGTGAGCCAAGGCCTGTGATTCCGTCCAGCCGAGACGAGGCTCCTCGTACCCTTGTTGTCCACATGCCATGCTTGTCTCAGCTCTGCCCTAGCATGCACGTCGTGGAGGGTGGGGAACAGGCCACCTCTCCTTCCCGTCTCTCTTCTAGTGACAGATGGGACTCTGGACTCTGTAGCCCTGCTTGCATTGAATCTGCTTATGCCCCAGAAGTAAAGTTATGGGATTAAAACACCAAAAGCAACGGGAATTATGATAGGTGACTGTGAGCAGGGCAGCTCGAGCCCCTGGAGCTGTGGGCCAGCAAATCTTTGCCAAATGGGCCCCACACTTGAGTACCTCTATGAAGCGGCATGAGTTATAGACAGTGGCACAAGACCAATCCCCCTTTGGTCTAGCTGAGGGAACTGATCACAAACGTAGAATATACCCGGTTTGGTGGTTTGCACAGTAAGTGGCCAGAAGATATTTGTCAAGCTTCATAAGGAAATCAATAATGCAGCCACAGGTGGTGGAAATAGTACTGGATTCAGTGCCGGAAGACCTGGGTTCTGATGTCAGGGTGTGACTAGACATTGAAACACAGAGCAGGCTTCACGCCCTGGATCATCACTCAGTCTCATCTATAAAAGGCATGTCGTAGTGGTTGTAGAGAAGGACTCGTGCTGGTGAAGACACCCGTTGAATGACGACGTGGAGAAGGCGTGGGTGGGTCGGCTGCTGTGGATGTTACCCCCATTAACGTCTCAGCTCTGCCATGCTCCCTCCAGACCTTGGGCCAATCGGATTGTTGCCTCGTGGGCCTCAGTTTCCTTATATATGAGACCAAAGTCTGTCTGTGGATGGTTTCCAAATACTAAAATTCTTTAATTCTTACCATGATCCAAAAGACGAAGGTTGCAATCCACAAGGGTGTAGTCCTGTGGGCTTGAGCAAATCTCCTCACTTTTCCATGCCTGTTTCTTTGTCTGCGAAATAACCACACAGTTGGGTTGGTTCTATCGGGCTCTTGCAGCTCGGAAGCTCGGTGACTTTTGAGATGCCGTGGGAAGCACCAAAGGAGAGGCTCAGAACCCGATTTCCGGAGTGGGTTAGAAACTCAGGACCAGGGAATGTAAGCCCATGAAGACCAGAATTGAGGGCTACAGCAGGGCATACCGGGTGGGCTGACGAGGAAGGGAGGGTGGAAGGAGCGCTTCACGTGAGGAGAGCAGTGCTTCTGGCTTTGAACAGGAACCTGGGAGGTCTGGAGTTGTGCGTGGGAACCTGCATTTCCATCAAGCTCCAGCCGATGCGGCCAGTCTATGGACCACACTTTGGGTAGCAAGGAAGGGTGCTCCGCCTTCCCCAGTTTGGCAGCTGCGCCTCTTAGAGAAGGACATAAGTTGATCTTCTTCCAACTTCTTCTGTGCCCCTCCCCCAAGACCTTGAAGCGAAAGATATTTTTGTTTTTATTTATTTTATTTATTTATTTTTATTTATTTTTATTTATTTTTCAAAAGATATTTTTGCCACTGGTTTTTTTTTTGCCCTAGTCGTTTCCCTAACCCCAATGCCAAACACACACGCGCGCGCGCACACACACACACACACACACACACAAACACCCCCCAATGCCCTGCCCCCTCCACCTCATCAATACTTCCATCACTGGTCTTCACTGCAAAAGTGATTTTGGAGGAAAAGAATCTCACACCACATTTTCCAGGCCCTTACTGTCTGGCGGTGACAATCCCAGAGGAACGGGAAGTGAAAATGTCTACATTGCTGGAGGGGCTGATGGCATGTCCAGGTTTCCCACTTACATGGTAGCCATCTGCCCGCCCCTCGTTAGTCCTGCACGCTGGTGTTTCTGCCTCTCCCACCTCCACCCTGCAGCAGAAGAGGGGCCTCCCGCAGAGTGCTTTTCCCATCTAACCTCTCCTTCACCCACCCCCGCCACGTACCCTCCCTCCAGCCAGAGAATGCCACCTTCCTGCCTTCCCCGTCACACCGCAGCCCATGGGGCAAGTGCTGGCACTTCTGAAGCACGCGGGATAAGGGCTGAGTCTGCCACTGGCGCACCCGGCGGAGGTCTGAAGACATCCAAACCCAGACACATCTGCAACCCATTGGCAGCCCACCTGAGTGTCATTCACACTGCTTGCGACCCTTCTCCTCTCCTCCCCTTCCCTCTCCCCTCTTTCCCTGCACTCCGGAGTGTGTGGTCCACTGCAGTTCACGTGTTCAGGAGAGCCTTCCACCTGCCCTTTTCTCTCCTCATATTCTGCATTTAGTCCTTCATAGCCAGCACCCCTGTCCCCTGTCCCCTAGAGAAAATCGAACCTAAACAGTCTCCTTTGCAGAGAGGGACCTAAGAAAGAAAACTTCACTTGACTGAAGCAAACTGGAATTTGCTCTGAGCAGTTGCCTCTCCCCCGCTGCGCTCTCTGGGCGCACTCGCGCCGTCTTCCCATAGCATCCTTGTGCTTCCTGGGCACGGCCCTCCCGTGGCTGTGATGGGGAGTGGAGGGGAGGTGGGGACATGGAGAAGGAGTGGCGCCGTGGGGCAGGGCTGGGTCCAGGAGAGTCCCTTGTTATTCTTAGGATCTAGACAGAGGAAATGGGGACCACTAGAAGTCAAGTGGCCGGTAAACTGTCTCTGGGAGCACAGCAGCAGGAGATTTCTGCACCAGATGAGAAGCCTGAGCCCTCCATGTAAAGTCGCCTGGTAGAGAAATCTTGTAGTGATGTTTTGTTCACCCTGAGGACTAAGGGTCTGAACATCTTGCTCCTGATTTACTTCCATGTTTTCCTTTGGACAACCTTTCTGCCTCCACCCATCAAGCCTCCACCCATCGCGTCCCAGCTCCAACACCTTCGGTGGCTCCCATGTCCTCTCGCGGAAGGTGCAGTTTAAATCCCGCCTCCTCCCCAGACTGTTCCCCGACCTCCGGGACCGGCTTGCTCCTCAGCACTCAGTTCCCTCGCAGTTACTCTTCTCGCTTAGCACTTAACGCCTCCTCGGGTACTCTTTACTGTGGCTTGAAAGGAGTTCATCTTACCTCCACAGCGGATCGAAAGCTCTCTAGTGAAAGAAGTCATGTCGTGTGTGTTGTGCACTCCAGTGTCCAGCGTTTTCATCCATGTGTGTGTGTGTGTGTGTGTGTGTGTGTGTGTTAAACCGCTTGAAATCTGATGAAAACTAAAGACACGATCCCCTAGAAAATGTACCCGTACTCGGAATTCTGCCTACATTTGGTGGATTTGCAGTTTCCTTTTTGCCCACCAAAAAAATTCAGATTAATAATATCTGATAACAGCAAATAGTGCTGTTGGCTGAGCAAATAGTAGGTGCTCTATATTTGCCCACTGACGTGTCCTTCTCTCTGTTTTCCCTGAACAGATTGCCCTGACATTCTCGATCGTCTTTGGGGTGATTGTGTATCGGATCACAACCGCAGCTGCTCTGTCTCTCAACAAGGCCACGCGCTCCAACGTCCGGGTCACGGTGACAGCAACCGCGGTCATCATCAACCTCGTGGTCATCCTCATCCTGGATGAGATCTACGGCGCCGTGGCCAACTGGCTCACCAAAATCGGTACCGTGCCCTGGACTCCTGTGGTCGTCCTAGGGCCCCTTAAACATGGCCAGCTCGGTGTGCGCAAGGTTTTTGGTGATAATGGCCCAAAATGAACAAAAGAGGCAGGAGCAGGGTGCGTTGTGCAGTGCGTTTCAGCTGGAGGAATGAGGACGTGCAAGGCCTGTGCACTCGAGGGGCCTGCCAGCGTGCCCCCCAGAGGCAGGGGTCCTTCCTGTGCCACTGTGCACCACAGCCTCTGACCCATGCCATTGCCTCATGTGACAGGAACGCACCGTCCCCTAGGGATGCCCATGGGTCTATTCTTTTTAGCCTAATCTAGAGGCAAGGCAGACTCAACGCTTCCTGTTGAAAATTGCAGGGCTTTAGCTCTCCTCATTTTCCCAGCAGCCTTTAGAGAGTTGAAGAAAGCCCCTTGATACTTGAGCCCAGGAGGGTCTTATCTATCCCTGTATTGTCAGAGGCCCCAGAAAATCCACACATTCCCCAGGCACTGAGCAGACTTCAAAGAGGCATATCAGACTTCCCAAGCCTCAAGCTAGTGAGAAAAATGCAGTGGCCTCAATATTCAGACGTGTCATTTGAGCCACAGCCTGCTGTTGTCTGAGCGCCACATTCTGGCATTCAGCAGCCGTGCTTGGTAGGTGGGGGAGGGCTGAGAGCTGAGACCCTGTCCCCACTGTGTTTATCCTGGGTGGCCTGGATGCGTCCCCTCGCCCTTTGAATTTAGGGAGCTCCCCCTACGACTCCAGGGACTGGGAGTCCCAGTCCCCTTCTCACGTGGGAGCTGAACTGACAGTGTGTGTGGTGCCTTTGCCTCCCTGACGGATCAGCAGCCAGACCCTTGGCAGGATGACCACCTCCTCGCCAGGGCCTTCCCATGAGAACTGGAGAACTCCAGAAACTTACGCTGTCCGTTCCTTTCCCCAGAGCGGCCTCTGCTCTGGCACTGTGCGTGGTGGGCACTCGCCTTTGGCTCCGTGTCCGTGGGCGGTCCACCATCAGAGAGACAGCTCTGCTCTCCTAGCCACGTGCATAAGCATCGTCTGTATTTCTTCATATTCTTCTTGAGGAAAATGAGCTGAGAGTGTTAATCCAGTGTATTTAATGATATCCACGAGTCTATGGAAGCACATGGGAGGAGCACCCAACACTTCTGGGGACACAGGGGCGGCTTTGGTGGCAGTAGGTAGTGCCACCTACTTGGAGAGCTCCAAGACAAGTGGCAGTAGACAGGCACGGGTGGAGGGAGGAGGGAGTGGGCAGGGTGGAGAGTTTCCTGGCAAAGGACGCCAAAGGAGAAGTATGGCACTGATGGGTGACATTGGACCCCTTGGGGGCAGAAAAGACACGCAGAGAAGTGGCACATGAACCACTGTGATCAGTGGGCAGAATTTTGGTGAGTTTAGATGGCAGTGCAGCAGAAGCTGGGCATATGGGAGGAAGAAAGCACGAAGCATGTCCAAGATGCCAGAGGAGCCCGGCGTGGTGGCGGCTCCATGGCCCAGGGCACAGTGCGGTGGGAAACCACCTTCCTGGCCTGCCTCCTGAGCCAGCTGAGCGATGAGACAAAGGCAGAGTGGGCAAAAGCCAAGATGTCAGCTACAAAGTGGAAAACGGCTACACTGGAGGAAGCGGCTTAGCAGGAGAGCCCAGCAGACATGCCCTGCAGGCGGCGTTGGCCTTGGGACTCAGACGGGCACAGACCACCCGCCTGCTGCGGCCGCTGCTCCCCCAGGAAGGGCAGAGGAAGGGGTGGGCGAGGGCTGCCATGTCCTTTTACAGACTGGCCCATGAGATAAGCTACTTGCCCTTCTTTTAGCGAAGAGGAGAGATGCGTGAGGTGGGATGGAGGAACCGGGAGTGGAAACGGATGTCCCCTCCCTGACACCACAGAGGGTTTTGTGAAGGGTGTGGCAGGAGGGGAGCTGCGCACTTGCAGACTTACTCAGGGAAATAGGACGCATGGAATGGGGAGAGGCGGACAGACCCTCGTGTGAAGGGCATTACTGAGAGTGTGGGCAGGAAGGCAGCAAGTAGGGAAAAGAGGAACAGAAGTCAGTGATGATGTAGAAATTTCTTCGTGCTGCCCGTTTATGTTACTTTATTTTACTGTATTTCACTTTTTTCATGCAGCTTCAGATAGTGTGGATGGAAGATAAGTAGAGTGGCCCACAATCAAAAACTCATATTTAGCCAGTGCTTCCCCCGTGCACGGCGGGGCCTTAAACTCTCTGCCAAGGCCATGAACAAAATGCGCCATGAAACGGTTTCCGCAGGGGGAGCTGGGAACAGGGTGATGTGCTGTTCTAGCAGCTGCCCCCTCACCCAAGCAACCCGCCACTCCGGGGGAGACCGTGCCCAGGCCTCAGGAGAAAGTTGGTGTCCTGGGAAGGAGAGAACATTCTAGCAAGTACATTTTGTTCCCTGTGATATTGATACTCATAAAGTGTTGTTTAACTGAAAAAAATTTTTAATCACATCTTGTCTTCACAAAAACTATGTGTGGCCAGCAAGGGAAGTATTATATCCTCATTTTATGAAGATTCACATTCAGATTCTACCTGTAAAAGGTGGATGTATTTTGTGCTACTTTGAAGTAAGTTCCTTATGGTCTGTCTTGACACGTTGTTTGGGGTCTCCGTCAGGAGCGCACGCAGGCTTCCTCCTGGGTTGTCGCTCCCGTCTGTCTCAGACTGGGTATTGCCCAGGGCTCACAGAGTGCTCCTGGGTGCTGGAAGCACCGCTGCATTTGAGAACCTCCGAGTTCTAGACCTGGCTCCTTCTCTCTGCCACTCCCCGGCGGGTGGCACTGGGCAGCAGGGGCCTTTCCACGGTGGCCACCCCCATCTGGGCTGTTTCCACAGCCTGAGGCTGTGCTGTTGTCCTCAGCCACTTTCTAGGGCCCTCTGTGTTGGAAATGCCCATCCAGCCAACCTTTCTCCAGCAGCGGGTTTGCAGGCCTGACGCCCACCAGCCCCCCCAGGAGCTCCCCTCTGCCCTGGGCCAGCCGTAGACTAGCCGTCGAGACTCTCAGCCACCTTCTTCCCCCAGTGCTCCTCCACCGCAGCTGGCCCCTCAGCTCACACTCACCCCAGGCTGCCCCGTGTGTCCCCACCCTGTGCCTTGCTCGTGCTGCTGTAGCTGTCATCATGGCCCTCAGCAGCCCTCTTGCACCCTGCCTCCTCTGCAGATCCTTTCTGGCCTCTCGGCTCTCAGAGATTTTCCTCTTACTTCTGAACTCATCCGGCACAGATCCTTCATTCACTGGGTCACACACCAGCTAGGTACGGACTTCCCACTCTGTGCCAAGCACAGTTCCAGGAATGCAGCAGTAACAAGCGACAAGGTCCCTGCTCTCGTCGTAAGGGAAAGAGGGACAGTGAGTGAGGGCACGAGGCAGATGTGATGGGATAGAGACTGGTATGGGGCTGTGCACTTTGGATCCAGAAAGGCCTACAGAGACAATGACCTTACAGCTGAGACGTGAGTGGCCGGAGAGAGCAGCCACACAAAGGTCTGCAGGGGGAGCTCTAGGGAGACGGGACAGCAAAGGCAAAGGCTACAGGCAAAGCGTAAGCTGGGAGCATATTGTCTACACTGCTCATTGCATGTTGATCATGTGCTGTGGATCTGAGCGCTGGCACTTGTATGTGTGTGTGCTCCCGATATTAGAATAGACAGGGCTCTGCAAATCAATGTAATCAATGCATCTTAAAGTCTCGGTTGCATAACATAAAGGTGTCTGTGTGCTCTTGCTCAGGCCACATATCTAGTGTGACCAGGCAGGGTCTCTGCTGCGCACAGTTGCTCAAGGACACAGACTGAGAGAGGCCGTCATGGACACCGTGTCGAGGAGAGGGAGTTGAGGATCAATAGGGGCTATCAAATGCTTCGATCTGGAAGTGTGTTTATCCCTTCTGCTCACAGCTTGCTGGCCAGAACCAGCCTGATTATGAAGAACTTGGAAAATATGTGGAAGCACATGGCATTCCAGGAGCAGGAAAGGTCCAGCCAGGCTGCAAGGCCCCTGAGAGCGGGGACTCTGTCTTTCATTTATTTTGATCTCCTACACAGCACCTGGCCTGTGGTAGATCTTAGCACATATTTGTTGATGCAAGTATTGGTGAAATACATCTCTCTCTCCATTCATGCATTCAAAAACAAATGTTTCAAGGAGTGGGCATAGACTAGACATCCTTTAAGCCATAGAAGAGGCTACAGTGAGCATTTACGTGTTCATTCTTTCAACTCTGCCTGCCTACAAAAGGATTTGAGGAAATAGTGAGATAAATAAGGCAAAAGCAAAGTTGTCATGATAGCATATAGTGACTAAAAATGCAAGAAGGATATCAGAGACTTGAAGATCCTTAATGGCAGAGAATGCCCACACTAGCAGAGATGGCCCTGCAGAGTGGGAGGGCACCAGTAGACCCATGGCAGAGGCATGGTTTCGGGGCTCTGCCAGGCCTCCACAGGGACACAAAGCATGGATAAAGCCACCTAACGGAATGAGAAGTCTGCCAGGCTCAGGGGCTTCCTTCGCTATTCTCACGCTGGGTTTAATACCCGTCTGGCTTCCTGCCCCAGATCGCTCCATAGTTGAGGGGGCTGTGACTATGTGCTTGGCTCACCAGGTGCAAACAGCTGGTGTTAATAACCCCAACACGTCCCCAAGTGTTCCCTACAAGGCTGGGTGATTGGAGACCAATTTCCTAGGTCTTCCTCACTAGGCCTAGATGCCAGGCCTATCTGAAGTCCATTCTTAACTACAAACATTTATGACAAAAGGCAGCGTTCGTTAAGTGCCTTGAGAGTGACCAGCTCAGCAGCAGCAGATAAAAACAGTGACTGTCTCCCTGACTGCCATAGCAGCCACAGTAGTGGGCGTGGGTGCAGGACATGCTGGAATCTGGAAGCGACACGGCACTGGTGAAGCAGGACCGGGCTGAGCCCTGGGCTGGTGGGGTTTCTAGGGAAGTGGGTGGAACTTTGGAGCC